CAAGATTTCTGGACAAGAGTTTTCTGAAATCTTGGATCTTGGATCCGTGGATGAGCTGTTCAGACTTGAGAATCTCAAGTCTGAAATCCCAAGTCTGAATTTGTCTAAGTAAAGAACATGAAATTCGATGCCCGGACACTGTTTTGGTTGCGTTGAGCCAAGCAAATGTTTGGTAGCATTGAGGCAAGCAGATGTTTGGTTGCATTGAGGCAAGCAGATGTACATTGTGAAAAGTGTTGGAAACACCATGAAGTGTGGATCTCAGGGGGGGTACCATATATATATATATATACACCTGGACCTTTACAACGTTTGTGAGAACCGCCAACTTGGTTGAAGAGCTTTGCGAGCAGGTTTGTAAACACCTTGGATTCCTATTGTGTTCCAACTGCCTCGGCCATCATGGAAAACTTGCACCGTCTGGTTGAGAGCAGTTGGATGGAATGGTCTTGGATCTCGAGGGCAAGGCACTTGCTGATGTCGATCGCTTTGGCACTGCCGCGCACACGCAAGCACCCCATCAAAAACTCCTCCATATCGACCGCACCGCTCTCATCCTGGCGCAGCGTGTAGGGTGAATAGCACAAAACCCTTTGGAGTGTGTGTTTGCCCCCCAACATGGGATATCAGTGGTGACCATCAAAAACACAACTGCTTCCAACACCCGGGTGGAACAACTTTAAAGCACTATCACTCTGAAGAAGGAAACTGCCTAGCAGGGGCAAGCATTCTACCCCTGCACAATGTTCTGCAGGTGTCTACAACTGGGTTAGCATCAAATTGTGCGCTGGGGGCTATCAGGATCCCCGCTTTACATTCGAATTATTCCAGCCCACACACACAAAAAGTTGAATTCTTCCCCATTACTATTCCTTCACAGTTGAAGTTGCGATGATTTGCCGGAATGGTTATTTATCGTGGTTAATCGTCGATGCCATACCAAACCAAAACCAAAACTATTGATAGGAAAGCGTTGACCAACGCCCTCCAATCCAATCTTCGCCGCGACACCAAATCCAACATCTTGAAGAAGGACCAAGCATCCCAAACATCCTGGCACAAACTGGCCCTAAGAATGCTTGGGTACAAACCGACTCAATTTAACATTGGACAAAAACACATAACGCGCATTTGCCACGGTCATCATTATTGATCAGCTGGGACCCAACATGTTGAATGCACTCACTAGATTACGACTTTACACTTGGAACGCTGCTGAACAAAAAATACACGATCTGACAAGGACCATGGTGGCGCATTCATGTCACCGCCACCAAAAAAAATGTTTGACAGCCGTTGGTGGCAAATCGACACAAATGAAATGTATAATGTAGCAGGTGCACATATCATATATTGTTACCTGTAGAGAAACCAGGTAAAGTCGCAAACGTTTATTGGCAAACAAAACATGAAACCGCCCACCCACGACATGAATGCCGTCGAGGCGCCAGACCCAAGGACGAGAAATATTCCCTGACTTCCGGGGCATTGATCTTCTCTTCGAACATCAAATAAGTGATTTCCCCGCTCTTCTCTGCACCGAGGCGGTTGAACAAATCCTTCACCTTCTGAAGGTGGGCCTCTTTGTTCCTCAAAGATTGGATGCACACAATGTTTTGGAACAGAAAATATCTCCAACCCAGCTGCACAGTCGGAACATCATGAAATTACACAGCATAAATAAACACAAGAGCAAAAAGGTAAGTCCAAGATTCGCCAAAATCGCGTGCATCATGGTGGTGTGATCATTTTGAGCACTGTCAATGGCAGTTTGGCAGAAAACCGCAGTGACCTGAATTTCAGCTTGACGTCCGACATATTCTGCAATGAGCCAATAAAAGCGTCTGGCATGGCCAGCTATGTTGCTGAAAAACCAACATTTGAGCTAATGCTGCCCCAGCCGCAACATTGAGAACTGCCTCGGCTGTTGAAGAGCACCATCCACACCGTCCGAAAACAAGGTCACACGTTGGTAACTAGCCTTGGTAAATTCTACACATTGATCATCTTTCGTGTAGTTGTCCGTCCCCAGTGGGGAACCGATCTTGAAGGAAAAAGAACCAGTAGGGTACCTGTTTTGGGGGAGCGGCGGATCTCGTAATACCTTACAGAAAGCGGTCCTTGGCAGAAAAACATGTAGTATAGTAAGAAGAGACATGTTTCTCTCGGAGCCTATGAATGATTCAAGTCTACCAAAGAACGAAAAAATAGCAAAATGCTGCTCGTCCTGATCAGTCACCGCGTTCCAACAGGTCACCACAACCGGGTCGCCTCCACAACAACAAACCTGACAAAAACTTCAATCAAAGAGTCCACATAAAAAAAACCATCAACCAGAAACCAATTCTTCAATTTTTCGGGCAGTTCATCCACGTCCTCAAAAGAAGTCAACCGAAGACAAACAATGTAAACCAACGACACCACCGAAGTAAAAGCTGTAGCCAAGCATGCTGGCTGGCGGACTCCAAAGAGTCCATTCAGCACTTTCTCTCCCTTGACTCGAA